GGGGGGGGTTAATAATGAGGTTAAAAGTGGGAGAGAAGGGATTTTGAGATTTTTTGTAAGGTTTGTCAAAGAAAAAAGAAAGATGAAACCAAGGAGTAAAGGACCAAATTAAACTACATTGTTGTTTATGGTGTATTTTATACATATTGTGAGAGCACTTGATAGGAAACTATGCGTGTAGAAGACGTGTGCAAGTACCTTCAGTACCAAGGAAAAGGAACCCTTGCTTTGGAATTGCGGGAGGGAAAAAACAACTGATCGGTTCTGAGTTTTCCTTGCTCGAAAATATAGGACAAGAATTAATGGTCCTCATAAGTTTTCACTTAGCAATAATGTAATTTCAATTTATTTCTCCCTCTGTTTCATTCGCGTCAAAATCAAATATTACTGTTGGTTACTGTGTTCAAAATCAGAAAATCAGAGAAGCAATCAAAAGTTAGTTTAATAAACAAATCGGAAAATAATTCAGAGCCCACTGAATGCACAGTGTGTCCTTAAGGAATTTAATCCCCTCATTGTTGCCCAAGGTATACGGATTAATTCCTCCCAGGATAGAACGGAATAAATATTCTGTGATAGCGGCACTTCAAATCACAGAACTTCAGCGAACTCAACAAACGGAGCAAATCACACTTGACACTTATGTTTATTTAGAAAATAATGCAACAATGTAGAAAAGAGGGGGAAGTTTTTTAGATTTTCCATCTTTTAAAAATGAGGCCAAGCCTCTAAATTTATAGACAAGGGAAGGATGATATGGAGAGGTGCAATCGAAAAGGTGCATCTTCCATTTCTCATTCACACCCCTTTAATAAAAACGCAACAACTATATCGTATAAATTGGAACAGAGAAACTATATAGCAAAAATCCAACAACATAAATTAGCACTACTCCATTGCGTCATTGTTAGTTGTATACCCGCTTCTCTAACCAAACTAGTTCTTGAAGCCCGTGCAAAGCCCGGGCCCAAACTCAAGATATAAAAGCAAAACTTTCGTTTCACTCCTTTAATATTTTAACTTTCATTTTGAGGATTTTTTTTTTTACTTCAAATCAGATGCGGAGCCAGAATTTAAAGTTTATGAATTCTGAATCTTAGTTTTTAAAGTTTTTTAGTTCTAAATTGATAATATAGATATTTAGTGAACTTTAAGACAAATACAGAATTTGAACCAAAAGATTACCAAATCTGACCAAACTTATTTTGTGTTTAAAAAATTAAATAAAGTTAACCAAATGAGAGATTTAAAGATAACCTGATCATGACTGATAATACTGACTTAAATTAATAATATAGATATTTAGTGAACTTTTAAGAAAAATAAAGAATTTGAACCAAAACGTTACCGGACCCAACCAAACTTATTTTGTGTTTAGAATATTGATTAAAGTTAACCAAACGAGAGATTTTAAAGATAAACCGATCATGACAGATAACACTGTCTTTTTAAATACATATGAGCTCATTAAAGTTTAAATATAAAGTAAAAGAAATGCCTAAATATAAATAGAAGAATTTTCAGAAATTCTCAAATTTTATAATACAAATAAAAAGTAAAAAAAAATGCCTACATGTACAAAACTATAATAAGCAACAAATAAAAAGGAGAATGAGACATCAACAAGAAACAAGAATCTAGCGAAAAAATTACTGTTTTTCAGGTTAATAGATAAGATCAATAGAAGAAAGTAACAGGGAAAATAAAGTGCAGCGGATAACGCTGTTCCTTCCTTACCAAGGTTTTCGAATTTGAGCCTGGGTATGAAAAAATTCTTGGTAGGGTGAGCTTCCTCCAAATGAGCCTTACGCGATGCAAATTCGAATTAATCGGGCTCCAATACAGATATCGGACACCGAATAAAAAATTAAAAAACAGAAAAAATAAGGTAGGACAACGTTTAAGAAGTAAACCGTAAAACAAAAAAAAAATAAGGTTAAGACCTAGAAGTAATTAATTGAAAAGTTTACATTTTATTGGAAACTTTTGCGAGGACTACAAAAGTCTTTGGTTGTCTCTTATTATATGTAGTAAAATGTGACTTTGCACAGGTCATTCTACTCTTTTCTTTCTATTTACTTTCTTTTTTCTAAAGGTAAGAACTATTAATGAAAAAAGTCATCGTCTTTTTTCATTATTTAGCTTTCTATCAGGTTAGTCTTATCAATAACAAAATGACAATAAGACCTTATTCTAATGCTTAAGAGGACATCAAATAACGTTAAAGTCATAAGTTTCACCTCTATCGTAATGTACGGGGTAATGGTATTGTCACAACTCTTCTGAAAATGTGGATAACATTATATTTTTTTCATTATTGTGTAATTATTTTGTAATAATCTAATTTCCACAAATAAAAAATTATATATCATTGAGCAATCTAATTCTTAACCCGACGATCATAAATGTTAAATTTTATTGCAACCTTGCGTAATTTCGTTACCGAATTGGCCAACCTGAAGCTTATAGATCTTGCTTCAAGGTCAAGTACTACTCTTGATTAGAGATTTCAATGTGTATATTTTGCTTCCTCGATCCTCATGATTCCAAGTAGTCCTATATCTGATTAAAAGGTAAGGGAACTCCCATCATGCACAAGGTACATTCCGCGTTCACGCATGGTTCGGAGAAAGGCCGCACCTAAGGGGATACCCATAAGGTTACCAAGATTAACCTTGTCCCTTGTAAATATCACGACCCAAATTTTCAACCAAAGAGGTCGTGATGCATGGCACCTAACACCACTTGCTATTAATGTATTATAGTTTGGTTTGGATAGGAGTGTATCTAACAGCAATTAGATAGAGAGCAGGAGCCTTATTGTTATCTCATTGAAGAGTTTGATTATAACTTGTACTCTGTATCATCTTATAAATAGCAATACAACAAAGCACAAAGGTGCGAAGGTTATTTCTCAACATGGTATCAGATAGCCTTCAAAATCCTCTCTGAGTTTCATCTGCACGATCACTTCCGTTGTCTCTTTATTCTCCATATTTGTTCTTGCTTCGCCATCTCTCTTATCTCCAAGTCTAATTCAATATTTATTCTGGTTTTTCTACTCATGGCTAGGGTGGGCGTTCGGGCAGTTCGGATTGCATATGAAATTTCAGTTTGAATTTTCAGTTTTCGGATTGACGAAATGACAATCCAAATCCAATCAAAATAAGTTCGGATTGGATCGAATTTTTTAAGTTCGGTTTCGGATTAATCGGTTTGGATATTTTAAATTTTCGGTTTTGAGCTTATAAGTTGAGATGTCTCTTCTTTTTACAAAAATGAATATCCAAATGAAGTACTCATGTTAAATTGCCTGAAAAGTTATTCACTCTCACCGCAATCATCCAAATGAAATATTAAAGTAATGAAATTATTATATAAAAAAAATAAAAAAATACAATAGAGACATTAATGCGACAGATAAGAAGTAGAAATGGTAAAACCATGTCCAAATAGAATGTATTCTCATAATAACTTAGTAATTAATATTGAATATGTATATATATAATATCTGATGGGTGGGGTATTGAACTTATCACTATTGATATATGGATAATGGACTAAATATAAAGTATAAGAATTTCAGATTTTCGGATATCCAAAAATTCGAAGTACCAAATCCAATATCCAATCCGAAATCCAAAAATTTTAAAAGTAAATCCAAAATTAATCACTAACCCGAAAATCCAAACCAAAAATCGAAGAAGTTCGGATTTCGATTTGGATTTCGGGTTTGCCCAAAGTATGCCCAGTCCTACTCATGGCTGCTCAACCTCCCAACAACCCTTACTTAGTGCACATCAAAGACTTGGTTCCTGTTTGCCTTGACAATTCCAACTACATGAAATGGAGTCACCTTTTTCTTCCTGTTCTTGATATCTATGAGCTTCAGCATCACATTGATGGTTCTAGCACTATCCCTCCGTCTATGATAACTGATTCAACTGGAAACAATATTTCCAATCTCGAGTATCCGAAATGGCGCCGACTAGATCGTCTTATAATGACTTGGATCAATGCAATAGTATCACCTGATCTTCTTTCTCTCCTCTATGCTGCAGATTCTGCTCAAGCGGTATGGGCTATTCTGAAAAGTCATTTTGTTAACATTACTACTGCACGCGAGATGCAAATCAAGTACCAGCTTCAATCTCTCAAAAAGGGTGATCTATCTATTGATGCATATATGGGTAAAATAAAGGAGTTAGCTGATTCTCTTCAAGCTATTGATCGTGTTCTAACTGATTCTGAGCTTCTGCTTTATGCCTTGAATGGGTTGCCACCATCATATGAATCCTTCATCACCATGGCTTCTAATCAAATACCCCCTCCATCATTCACAGAACTCTGGAGTCGACTTCTTACACAGGAAACACGTCTTGAACAGGTTCATGGTGTCCCGGCTTCCTCATCATCAACCGCTCTTGTTGCAACCAATATAAAAAGCTGAAGCTTCTCCAGTCATTCCATCCTTTTCTCGTGGTAATGGACGATCAGGTCGCGGGGGACGTAATGGTGGTCGTTGGCAGAATCGTGATCGACGTCGTGGTGGTAGGTTCTCTAATTTTGGTCGAGGATATAGTGCACCAGTTAGTAATTCTACAGGTTCTCCGTCTTTCATGCCGTGTCCAACATCTGGTCGTGGATTACTTGGACCTCCACCCTCTCAAACCTCTGTTATCCCTTCCTTTGTTCGTCCTAATCCCACACAAGCCCAGACATAATGTCAAATCTGTCAAAATTTTGGTCACGTGGTGTTGGATTGTCCTCATCGTCACAATTATTCATATACATCTTCAGATTTTTCATGACAATTTGCAGGTCTTTCTCTTCAAGATTCACCAGACTGGGCTTGGTATATGGATAGTGGTGCTAGCTCCCACATGACTTATGATCAGGGTAAGATAAAATCACCCTCTATACATTCTAATTCTCACTCTATTTTTCTTGGCGATGGTAGTACTATACCTGTCTCTTCTACTGGTTGTTCAACAATTGTTTCTCCTAATCGAACATTTCATTTAAACTCTATTTTACATGTTCCTTCCTTCCTTGCCTAGCTTCAAAACATGCTAGTTTGCCATTTCCTGTTAGTCACTCTAAATCAAACTATTATTTAGATTTAATTCATTCTGATGTATGGAGCTCTCCTTGCTTTTCTGTTAGTGGCTATCGTTATTATGTAATTTTTGTGGATGATTTTTCACGTTTTGTCTGGTTTTAATTATTGCGCTTTAAACATGAAATTTTTGATTGTTTTCAAAAATTCAAATCTTTAGTTGAAAAATAATTTTCTACTACCATCAAACCTTTTCGCTCTGATGGTGGCGGTGAGTACACTAACACCAAGTTTCTAAACCTTCTTTCTACTCATGGTATTCATTTCCATACACCGTGCCCTCATACACCCCAATAAAATGGCGTGTCTGAACGAAAACATAGACACATTAGTGAAATGGGGCGCACGATGCTTTTTCATGTTACAACTCCTCATAGTCTTTGGGTTGAGGCATTTTCTACTGCTGTCTTTCTCATTAATCGATTACCATCTCCTACGTTACATAATAAGTCATCATATGAGTTGGTTTTTCATACCCCTCCTAACTACTCTTTTTTTCATCCTTTTGGTTGTTTGTGTTATCCTAATCTTCAGGCTTATCGCTGTCATAAATTAGCTTCTCCATCTGCTGCGCGTATTTTTTCTTGGTTATAGTCCTAACTACAATGGTTGGAAACTGTTACAATATAGTTTATTGCAACGGTTATGTATGCTATTGCAACGTTTATTTACAGCTATTGTAACAGTTTCATTGCGCGACCGTAACAGTTTTGTTTCTATTGCATCAGTTTCAATTTCCAATTGCATCAGTTTGTCACACTTTTTGGAACGGTTTGCAAGACCTATCGGAACGATTTAGAATGTCTATGGCAACGGCATTTGTGCTTATTGCAACGGTTCCATTAGGCTATTCTAAACATTTAATTGACATTACTACCTGGAAATATTTGTAATTATAACCTGGAAATTATATAAATAAAAAGATAAAACACTTCATAATCTTTCATGTCCAATAAGCTAAGAATAACGATAATAGCAAAATGTTTTAACCCAATTACATAAGTTTTACAGTTCAACACTTCAAAAGTTAAAGTTTCAAATGTTATAACAAAAGACTCCAAGAATATCGACAACAACTCAAAGTTCTTCTTAAGTAAGGTCTAGATCATCACTATCTCCATCTTCCCTTTCTTCAGTTGCTCCACCTTCTCCATCTTCCCTTTCTTCAGTTGCTCCACCTACAAAGGAGAATAAATAAAGTCATTAAATAAGAATGGGTATAGTAGAATTTTCTCTAATTGTAACTTTGTAAGTAGAGAATGGGTTGGTTGCATCTTCCCTTTCATTCTTCTAATTGTAACTTTTATCCATTCTAGTCTTGGCTTTTATAGCCAATGCCAAATATAAGGGAAAGATCAAATGACAAAAAATGGGGGATAGGGGGTAAATGAAAAATCCTACTGCCAAGGCCAATGCTGACTTTTGGGAAGTCCATCCAATGTCAAGACAGCCCAAAGTTAGCAAACAAGATAAATACATTTAGATACACAGTTAAATAGAAACACTATTTGCCACTATATTTGCCACTTTTTAAATTTTCTTCATGTCTTATAAGTATATCCCCTTTCAACCTTTCACCCATATCCAATTGCAAAATAGCTCATATCAGCCAATCTTTTAGCTCTACTAGCTCTACTGCTCATATCAGCCAATCTTAGAAGGTGTTGCATCAGAGAGCGCAAAGCCATCAGAAGATGGTCCATCCGAAAGTGTTGCTGAAACTGTGGACAAGTCTGATGGTGATGCTGAAAATAAGGATTAATTGGCATACAATTTTTATCAAGTAACAACTTGAGCACTATGGGAACCAGTTTTTTGTGGAGATCCAAAAAAAAAGGCATTGAAAATATTTTATCTTGTGCCAGACGATTGTTGTTGATTCTAGAACATATACTCCTTTGCATCAGATTTTAAAAGGAGGCTATGCTCCTCACATGAATTTAACTTTTGTTGTTTATTAAGATACCAAGGTACAGTGCAGGATTTCTTGTTTTTTGTTCGGAGGGGAACTTTAAGCCGGAGACTTTTGTTTTATTTGTGATTGGAGCACCAATTAGAAGCATATAGAATTGCGCTCTACTTTCACGTGAGCACACCAATTTGCGCTCTACTGCTTATCAAAAATATTTCCAGCTCTACTACCAAAATATTTCCCGTCAAACAGTCACTATGCCTTATTAGAGAGAGCAGTGGCAGAAAAGCAACAGCAGAAGAAGAAGAAGCAGGAGGAGGAAGAGAAGAAGAGTACGTACTGACCTCGATTATTACTCCCAGTAGATAGACGATTGATTAGTTTCACAGCAACTTGTTGTGCAGAGGAAGCATCTCCAGGTGAACGAGTATTGAAAGCTAGCATGCTGGGATCGACCTGTAAGTCTTGATTCAGACGCTTAAGTTGTGAAATGATGTTAACTGCAACTTGTAGTTCCATGGCATCTTTTTGTGCATTGAACTTTTCCTGCATTCTTTGTTGCATCCATTCTTCAATTTCCACCATTTTTTGTTGCAGCATCTCATGGGTAGAACTTAAAGAGGTTCCAATATCTCTCACTTTTCTTTTTAAGGAAGTCTTGGTAACCCCACGTCCGTACAATCTTAGGCGTCCTGGATGCTCAGGTCCCATGACGGACGCAAACGCGTCAACTGATTGACTGCCATCTTCAGTTTCTTCTGTTGATTGTATTCTATCCATTTCAGCCTACAAGACCAAATTGATTTAATTTTAGATTAGAAAGTATATAAAATTGAGTCAATAACTAATAACAGACAAATGATGTCAACAAACTTTAAATTAGTAACTCGTACAATTTTATTAAGAGTATCCGCATACGAGGCCTTGTATACTCGATCGGGCTTTCTTTTTCTTCCCACAAATATGTCCTTACTTGATAGAGGTTCAGAAGTTTCTTTTTTTTTTTTCTGGTTACATATAAAGTGGTATAAAATAGTTTAGATTATGGCTAGCAAATTCATATTTAAAAGAATAATAAGAAAAAAAAATATCAAACCTCGCATATTCTAGCAAAACTTTTTTTGCCAGCAGTGTGTGGATATCTCAACTTTTTGCGATTCTCAGTGTTGGTTTCTTTCATTTTCTGCAACAAAAAAGAAACATTGACAGTGAATAGATGATATTGCCCTTTCTTGAATACAATATAGTAACCAATTCTTTTGGCTGATGAATAAAATCAGAACTTTGGCACTAGCAGACTCCATATTAGAATAGTTATATATCCCAAATCTAGCTTTTAATTTGCCTTTTATTGTTTCCTGTTTGAAACCAAAACCAATTACCAGAGAATCACTCACATAAATCAACACATTTAAAGAGACAAAGAGCAAACAATCAGAGTATACCTGGGGAGAAGAAAACAGAAAGGTGGGACTTTCAGCTCTTCTATCAAGAAATGTCATGTAATTTCTTTTAAAAATACAACATACTTCAGTTATGCCTAGCTGATTTCTCCCTCAGACACATATAAAGAGCAGAGTCAAATGTAAATGAACATTTCGTTCTCTAGTCATAAATGAATAAGCATGAATAAGCATTAGCAAGTAGTGAGCTTGCTATGCATCAAGTTTATAGAGGGAAGTCCTAATTATTAAGTGCAACGTTTACAGTCACAAAAGAAAAGATCAGCAAGATAATAGATTCCGGCTATAAAATCTACTATGCAAATGTAACAGATAAATGGCATCAACAAGAAAAGCTAAAGAGCAAATTAAGCAAATTAAGCTGAAGAGCAACTATATTTCTTACCTAAGAACATGATTTCTAAATAAACAAAAATCAGACATTTTAAGCAAATTATGGAACAATATTCAGTTTTACCCTGTAGGTATCAGAGTTCCAATATCTAAGAAGTTCCCTAACTTGAGAATCCGGAACATCAACCGGTCTATTCTCCATTCGAAGCTCGTCATTCTCATAGGGTTCAAAATGGTCTTTATATAACTGGTTTTTGTACTTTCTCCAAGCATTTGAAATTGATTGAAAAACCCACTTTTTTTGTCACGACCCTAGTTCACCAATTGTGAACACGTCATGACGGCACCTAGTCTTCACGACTAGGTAAGCCTAACACATTGCGGAAGTAACAACATTTGCGAAATTTATGTTCGAAGCTAAATAACATGAGTAATGTATACAGTTGCCGCCTGGCACATACACTTTAATACAAAATACTGAAATAACCTCCAAGACCCGGAAACCCACGGGCAACACAGGCTATAAGAAATCTTACACTGCTCTAGTCACCAGAATAGTCTAATACAAAGAGGGATCGAAATTACATCTAACAACTATGGATAAAATGAGAAGGAGACTTTGCGGATCTGCGGACGTAGCAGATGTATACCTCAAGTCCCCAATATGCTCCCTGACAGCTACTGGCGGTACGCCTGCTCAGAAGCACCTGGATGTGCACATGAAAAACATGCGCAGAAGAGGCGTGAGTACACCACAGCGGTACTCAGTAAGTGCCAAGCCTAACCTCGGTTGGGCAGTGACGAGGGAAAGGTCAAGGCCCTACTGAGACAGAAACAATAAAATAGCAAGATATTAACAGTATCGAAGTCTGAAGAAAACTAATGAACATAGCGATGTGATAAGACAGATCAATGAAATATAGAACTGCAAGACGAAACAGAAACACAGAGTAAATACAGCAAAATTACAAGAATATCGACGGGGGTCTCCCAGGATACCGTCCTGTAGCCCTTTTTCAACTGTCCAATGGAACTTCCGGGATACCGTCCCGTAGTTCAAATCTCATATCGATATCAAAAGATCTCCCGGGATACCGTCCCGTAATCCAATCATCAGTGTGCAGGGGGATCTCCCGGGATACCGTCCCGTAGTCCCAAAATAAAAGTATAGGGGGATCTCCCGGGAATCAAATCCGTAGTCCCAAAGTAAACAATCAAGGGGGAACTCTCGGAATCCGCATCCGTAGTCCCAATATAAATGCGCAACCAACATCAACGAATTATTCAGAAATTTAAGTACAACAATACAAGGCATCAAATAATACTGGCCTAACATGCTCCACGTAATCACAGTTAAGACAATTTAAACAAATAGGCAGCTTGGATCAATTAAACATGCTCTTCTACGCTAGCACAGGCTATAAAAGCAAGTAAAGTAAGGCAAATATGAAAGAGAATCCAAATCAAGTATTTAAGTAAAAATCAGGGTTTCAACAATTTGCTCAAGTACGCGCTCGTCACCTCACGTACAAGGCATTCAATTACCAATTATCACATCCTAAGGGACGAAGTCCCCCACACAAGGTTAGGCAAGCCACTTACCTCGAACCGGTGCGAAGTCAACTAGGGAACGATGCCCTTGCCACGAGTATCCGACTTCAATATCCCAAATCTATTCAATTAAATTACAAATCGTAAATAATATTGCAAACAACTGATTCCACTATTGAAATTAAAGCTAAGGCGCGAAAATAGATGAAATGACCAAAATGCCCCTCAGGCCAACGTCTCGGAACCGAATAATTTTTACATTTTCAGAAACCTCGTACTCTCACGAGTCTAACCATATAAAAATCTCAGAAATCGGAGGTCGAATGCTCCCTCAAAACCTAATAGTTTAGTCAATGAACTTTCACCCAAATTCTTCCATTTTTGATCCTTAATTCGAATTTAAAAGGTGGATTTAACTACTAAATGATAGAATATAACTAGAAAGGATCATAGAAATGTTACCCAATAATCTCCTCTCCAAAATCCTCTCAGAATCGCCCTTGCCCGAGCTCAAAATTGATTTTCAAACTTATGAAATTAAACCCTCGAAATTTCCTATTTCTGCCCAGACATTTCCGCTTCTGCGGACAAGGGACCGCTTCTGCGGTCCCGCTTAAGCGGCAAAATAACCGCTTCTGCGGTTTCTCATTAAAGGGGAAAATTCCGCTTTTGCGGACACATGACCGCTCCAGCGGTTCCGCTTCTGCGGAAAGATGACCGCTTCTGCGGTCTTTGAGGGGAAGCCAAAAATCGCTTCTACAATGAGGAAGCCGCTTCTGCGGCTCCGCTTCTGCGGTTCCCAAACCGCAGAAGC